CCCCCCCCCAAAGTCCGGAACCATGGCACCAGCAACCGCCCGCTGCCATGCAATCAGTCGGTGACGAGGAACCTTCCCCTTGGAGGCGACCAATTACCGTGGCCAATGGCTACCTTGGTTACGAAGACAACCAGCACGTGCTGCAGACCCAGAGAGATCCTGACGAAGGTCGGCTACGACAACCAGGTGGGCAGCAATCGTAGGTCTGGCAGATGTGCTCATCGAACGTGCAAAATGAGAGTGAGTCTTCCGCTAAGACGCGGGCAGATACATTTCCTTTTCCCCCCGAACCTTCCCGTAAGTGGCCGCGCAGCCCCTACCACTCATACCGGCCAAGCCACTCCTCAGACCCAAATTCCGACGCAGCCATCACATCCGGAGTGCGTCAAAACCCCCACTTCAAATCTTATCTTGCTCAATTCTGTGTGGGGACGGGCGAGATATGCCCTTTTTCGCTCCGCCATGTTAACGAATACGATGCCTCCGCGCACTCCATTCCCCTTCTAGCTTCCATTCTACTCAACCATCCATCAATCTGAAGGCAGATTCGAGCTCGCAGAGGTCCAAAACCTCAGGAATGGGTCTTGGTCCGTCCGATTCTGTTGGGAATTTAGCGAATCATTCACTTCGTACTCCACCATATCCACTCATTCATCCAACTCCGTGCAGCCCTTTTCCTGCTACCCTCACTCATTACTGATTTTCCACTAATTCCGATGTTAGATCCTGTTTCGCCTCATCCCAAAACCCCATATCCGGTCCTCTCCCCGCTTAGATCTGCGAAGAATCAGGCAGCCACCCCCTCCATGTCCGCGCTCAGCCAGTCTTCCGCCATCTCTATCTTGGCTGCACCTGGTGCAGAATCCCAACCGGGTTCGTTCATCACCTTCTTTACTAAATTCCAACAGCTGAAGMCCATCGCTCCCTGCCTAGTCTTCACTGCGCTGCCCCGCTGGTTCCCGTCTGCGCCTAGAGACARCCCTCCCTTTAYCGTGCACAGTCGCACCTCGTCCRCTCTCCCTCTCTTTCTCCTCGTCACTCCCCGCTTTTCCCTTTCTACTTCCTCCTCCCTGTCAAGCCACCGTTGCGCGGTAGCTAAGCATCATACAGCTTTGAAAGCCTACCTGAACCAGCGGCCGACTCTAAATAGCATTCTACCATGATCCCCTTGGTGTGCTCGTCTTGGGCACCGGAGCCTCGGGCTCGGCWAGTGCTCTTCGCCSCCAAGTGCGGGTAGGTGCAGTTGGCTTCCTCTCCTTCGTAGGACCTGATGCTAGGAGCAGTCCCACCAGCAGCATTCCAAGCCAAACTGTATGAGTGTGGCCCTGCCAATCACCCGATCTGAAGTCCCGGGGCTCCACTATCGGTCATGGGAAAGACCCTACTAATTTTCTCTGTGTCGTACCAATTGCAACGGATGTCCCGCAGACTGCAACCCGATACTAGTATCCCAGCAGTTCGTGGTTGTAYCCACAGAACTAGGCGGCTGGGCTTCCCGGCCGGCCCTGGTACCGGCACCGGGCTGCATCCCATATGGGACAAAACAAGAAAATAATAATAATAATAATAATAAATAAAAATAAAAAAAATAAAAAAATAAGAACTTAGAAAGCCTGGGAAAACGGCGGAGGGGGAGGAGGACCATCGGAACCTAGCCTCGGTCCTGCCTCGCAGGCTTGCTGTCGGACCCCCCAGCAAAAAAAAACAAGGGGGATAATACCGTCGGACCCTCAACCCCTCGGTTTTCTTCACGCAGCTTTTCTTCACGCTGCTCCACTCTGCGGCCCGCTAGCCTCGCTCCCCGTATCTCCGCTGTAACAGTCCGACACCGTAACCTATAGGGCTAAGCCCAAACCTGGTATTGGCCTGCGCGGCATTCCATATGAACCGGTGCGGCGCAGCCCCCAGGCCTGGGACACAGCCCCAGCCCTCTTTCCTACCTCCCAATAGGCACGCTACCTCTAGGCTCCTACGCCGGCTTGCCCTCTTTGCGTCGCGGCCGCCTCGCCCCCTACGTCGTACGTTAGACTACTACGGTCACTTATCCCTACCAAGGACACCTCTTACTTCTAGTAATCAAAGCCAGGTCGGCCAACTATGCCGGTTACATAATCAAAAACAGAAAAATTGCGCGCGCGCCTTAATCCCGCGCGCCCACTCCCGCCCTACTCTAATCAAGCAACTTACCTATGTAACCAAACAGACCTAGGCGCGTCTCGCGTAGTACACTTTAGACCTCAACTCGTACTTCCGGTCACTTGCAAAAACAAGGGCGGATACCTTTGTCAGGGTATTCGCGCCGACAGCTTACCGGACCATATTAAGCGACGTCCCCGTCGCTTCGCCAAATCGAAAGCTACAAATTCCTCCATAACTCCAAATGCTGACGAGACAGGAACCAATCCGATCAGCCGACAGACTTAGGGTTGAGGCCTCTAACAATCCAAGCCCTTATAACTATATGCCGCCAGGGTTCCAACCTGGGTCTCCATTGCCCTGACATTAGGACGCCGGTGTACTAGACATACGTACTACAGCATAAGTCTCAGCGGCCCTTCTTACCCGTCATCTCCCCTTTTGTCCTAGACAACCGCCGGCTTCTCGTTAAGTGTCCTTGGCCTCTGCCCTGCGAGCAGGACTTTGACCAGGGGCGCGGGCCCTAACCGAGACCTTAGAAGGCATTTTCGCCTCCCTCCAATACTCCTCACAATCAAAAAGTATATATATGTACGTATATATATCTTACCTCAATACACCTCCTGCAGTCTAGTACAGGGAGGTTAGGTCTCCATCTTGGCCCACCGTAGTCTGGGTGATCATGCCAGATCCACGACCCACCGCATTTGTTAGTTTAGCGGTAGTGCCCTCGCAGGTTGCGCCACGATAGGCTTCTCTCCTGATAAGCATTCAATCAGGACGCAAAAAGACTCGACTCGACTCCTATCCCACGTCGGTCTACGGGAGTAAAACCCTCCCAGGTGGCCACACCCTTTTAAGTCTTTACTCCCTAGGAACGACGCAGACCCGCTGACCAGGTTGTGCCGATCAGCAGCCAACACTAGGGGTTGCGCCATAGTGATGCTAAACTCTACCGTTAGCTTGGTATTCTCATATATGTTCCAGGATTAGCACATGTGGCTGGACGGTGGGTCGCAACAATTACGAGCCTACTGCGGGACTACGCAGAGGCCTGTCACACGTAAAAGGTATTTACCCGCCGTCTGTGGGACAACACAGGGGATCGTGGCAACCTYTYCACATTTACAAACAGAATCACYGCCAGTTGCACAAGGCCGTGACTTCCTTACTTKATCAGAGCAGGAGGCCACGYATCCCAGTGAYATCTCCYARAAGAAACTATTTGCGACCTCTCCAAACTCTCAACAGTGGCCAAGCAACAAGCATGGTCCTTCTCGTCAGGCTTTATCATACCAACCTTGCTTACCATGCCACCGATCTAGTAACCACCCTTCATACGAGGGAGGTGTCACGCCATAGGTCTCCCAACATGCAGCAGTTGCCTCCTCAAAAACCACCCAGGCACCCCTACCATAGCACAATTCAAACTTGAGGGACCAACTTATGGGTCCTCATCACAACTCAACAACATACATTCGGCATGGCAAGCATTTGAGTCTCAAGGACTCACAAATCCAAGGGATTCTTATACTTTCACAAGGACAGACTGCGCTTCCCCTCCTTATACCCGGCCCTGTCACCTGCCCGCGGGTAGATCGCCTAAGTATACCGAAGGGTAGGCAGTTCACATACATTCCATTCATACAATACACAATATACAAAATGCCACTCATACGTCCAACATCCACCACACATCAGGATAAAGCCACACATGTGAGAGTGAGAGTGATCGTCATGTACAAGGGATAGTCTCAACCCTCGATCAACTCAGATATACACTCAGGGATGAGGTATCTCATCCAAAAATCCACAGGGTAATCTCGTCTCGGGACCCAGACAAAACAACTCACCCTACCCTGAATATAGTACATGGTTAACGGTACAGGGAATCCCCAAAACAATTCAGTATTCTATTGCCACTTAGTGCACACCCCCTATTTTACATGATCCTAGTTACCGCGGCCATCCCATGCCGCAGGTCCCATCTATACACTCAACGTCGTAGGCGTCCACCCTGCCTAAGTAATAGCAAAGTCGTCAAAGAAATGTCCAACTTTTATTCAGGTGAATTAGACCCTACTCACTCATCTCCTCCTGGTTCTACCTGTACAATTGAGATCTACCCCCATCTACAGCTCATTCCACCACTCTACCCTGCCTATCATACATCTTTCCATCATACTCCGAGACCTTCCCGTCTGCCTGGTCCTTTAGGAATTTGAGGCACTGCAATGCCCTGTGCTCTTCCTTCGTACAATAGAAGCAGGTCGAGTCAAACGACTTCCTAGRCCTTTTCTTCTTCYGCTGGGGCCCTGCTGGCRATGGGGTTTCCCTRGCTTCTCCGTCCAACTCATGGCACTGAGGCACATCTCTGGGTCTCTCAGATCTTGCCTCCGACTCTCGCGGACTGGGCCCTGGTTGCGCCCTTGCTCCCTCTGGCTCATAGTCAGGAGTATCCAACCTCTAGGGCCTGCCTGCGATAATGCCCTCCATTGCACCTCCCATCTCGCTTTCCAGGGGCTCTTCCAACTTGTACTCTGGTGAAAACAAGCCAGCAACCTCCTGCATAGAGTGGACTGCTTCCAGTAGCACGTCCAAGGATCCTCCTGTCGAGCCTTGGGGAGGCTCATCACTGGCCAAGGGCAGTCTCTCCTTAAGTGACGGTGGCATGGCAGGGTCCGCCGCCATCGTGGGTAGCACCGCAAGCTCCGTAGGGGCTCTGAATTCGAAGGCTTCCCTCTCAGCCTTCCTCTTGGCCTCTGCCTCCTCAGTCTCCAAAATGATTCTTCTTATAGGTGCCTCTTGCTGAGGCTCCGCCACCGCTGGTTGCTCCAATACGCCATGTCTTGGCTGACTCTGCCCCCCTGGCCTGCTGCCTTCCGCCCCATCCTTGCTGCCATGAAGTTGCTGCCTCAATTCTAGGATGGTGGCGGCCTGGCTAGTCACTAGAGCCCTGAGCTCACAGACTTCTGCCTCAAGGGTCCCCAACCGTGACTCTAACCCTGCTTCCTGCAGCTCCTTCCCTCTCAGATCCGCCTCCAACATCCTATACCTGTTGAAGGAGGTCTTRGATACGGAGCGAATCCTCTGATCCAAATACTCATCAGCTCTCTGTGAGGTTTCGACCTCTGCCTTGCCTGGGGTCGTCAACCCTTCGCCATGACGAGCAAGAAACTCTCCCCACATCTCCCGGAGCCCATATGGTTTATAGGGCGGTGGCGGACTTGGGAGCACCCCTGCTGCTTCCAATCTTTGCCCCTCCTGCCGGATTTCCTCCCAACGTCTTGCTACTCTAGCCCGCTTTTCCTCAGCCGTTTCTTTCGCTGGTACTTCCTCTACCGTGCGTTGTTCGACTTCCCCTGAGATCCCCGTTTCCAACTCTCTCTCGGCCTGACCTGGTTCCCGGAGTGACTCCATAGGTATAACTTCTTCCAGATTAGGCTGCTCCAGGGCGTGGGCGGCCAGATGTCTATCAATCAGACTGTCTTCCTCACTCCTCAGACTGGCCCCCTCCGCCTCACTTGCCTCCATTCCTGTCGGCGATAGGCCCGTCTCGAGTACCACGAGTGAGACTTCCCCCCTTTGTACTTCCTTCCTCGTATCTGGCGGGCTCTCGGGTGGACTACCGAGCCTCAGCCCCACAGGTGGCCCCTGAGGGGGAGTGTCCTCCTCAACGTCTATGATCTCATCCCCAATCCGGACTTTCGTAGCACTCGGCCTCTCCTCTTGTTCAAGGTCTGGAACGTCCTCTTGTGGTACTTCCGCGACGGCCTCAATGCGCCTCTCACTCATCGGCGGCTCTCTCCACTGGGCAGCGTCCAGATGTGCCTCTAATGCTTGCAATGACCCTCCGGACGCTGGTACCTCCTGCTGCGTGTGCTGCGGAGATCCTCCCAGTCCTGGTCCAGGATAGCGATGGAACTCTATTGGTCCCAATTCACACTCGGGGCCTTCTCCTCGCTCCTCTGCCTCAGGTACCGTTTCCTCCTCTCGCCTAGCGAGCGCCTTCCATCCTCTTCGCGAGGTTCGGTTCTCAGCGGGCTTAGGTTCCCTCTGCCTACCGCTGCTGAGGCGCCTTTCGACTCTAGGCCGAGGTGGTTCTGGTTGTCGCGATGCTGCCCTCAAGTGTGCTCTACAACCATCCCAATCTCGAGCTATATCCCTGATCCGTCTGGCCAAAGGTCTTTCCGCCTTTCGGGTCCACAGGGGTAACGTCGTCATCCACTGTCTGGTCTTGCATGAATTGCTCGAATGCTGGGATGAAGTCATCTGCATTCCCAATCTCCAATCGAATAGGCCTGCCATCAGGTCCCACAGGCGAGGGTCGTAGTTCCTGCATCCGTGCCTCCACTTCCGACCTCGTTCGAGCCTCCCTGCGAATCTGTGCGATGGGCTCCATAAACCTGCCAACTCCCCTCAGTCTCTCGATCGTCTGGGTCACGGTCCACCCCATATGGTCAGCGTGACCCCAAAACTTGTCCATGAATAACTCGATATCCCCATCGTTATATACTGGAGTGCTTGCTCGACGGTAAGGCCCATGTCGTCCATGTCCTCCTGATGCTCCCGCCGGCCGTCGCGGTGGCCGTGTCCCCCTCCCTCCTCTTGGCATGGCTGCAAGTCAGTCCTGCACAACAGGCGAAGGAGACAACCGGCATGCGCCGGGGTAAGCAAACAGGCGCCGAAGAGACACACCTAGGCCAAACCAAGCACATGCCCCAAGCAATCCTCCTGCAAACCCATCTATTCCATTCTAAGGGGACTGGGTTGCCTATCTCACCTCTTTTCTGGCCACGAATTTCTTCAACCTCATCCCTGACACCCAGTCTTTCCACTCTGTTCCATTCAGTTCCTCGATCTGGTATGCGCCGAACTCTCCGCATCGCACGATCCGATAGGGACCAAACCACCTCTTGTCCAGTTTCCTGGACCATTGTTTTTCCAGGGATGAATCATACAAGAGCACGACGTCCCCAACTACCAAGGGTACCTTTCTTACACGAGCTGACTGGTCTCAGCGAGCCTTATCGTCCATACGGCTCCTCTCTTCCTGGTCGGATGCCTCTTGGACTCTTTCCTCAATCGCGCCCACCTGCCGAACTCGAATATCGAGCAATTCTTCGAAAGACAGATTTACCTCCAAGTCCTGATGCCTCCAAGTCTTTAGGAAGCTCTCGATTGGAAAGGTAGCATGTCTTCTATACCACAGTGTGGCCGGCGCATACTTAGTGGTCCTTTTCACTGTGATGTTCTCAACGAAGAAGGCGGCCCTCAGATACCTCGGCCACTGGCTGGGCTTACCTTCGGTCCATTTTGCTAGTAGAGTCGTAATGGTACTATGACCCCTTTCCACCGGAGCATTTGCCTGTGGGTGGGCGGCCGTGGTGTAGTTAGCTACTACCCCATATCTTGACAGCAGCTCTTGCACCTCCTGACAGGTGAACTCCGACCCCCTGTCCATTACGAATTCCCTAACGAACGGGCAGCGTAGGTAATACTCCTCGATGCAGCTGACCAGAACTGGCCCAGTCTTCGTACGGATTGCCCGTCCATCTACGAAGCCAGATAGGTTATCGCGCGCATCGAAGATATAGTTGTAGCCATGATCTCCAAGGGGCATGAACAATAAGTCGAGGTGTACTACGGCCCCGACCTCTCTCTCCAGCCTTGGATGCAGTGTCTCTCCTAGCCTTAGACGGGACTGCTCTTGGCACGACACACAGGAACGACAAAATTTCCCAACCATCTCCATCATGCCGTCCCAGTAGTATAGCTCACTTATTTTGGCATATGTGGCAGTAATTCCCCGGTATCCGCCTGCAATGCCATCGTGAAGCGCTGCTATGACGTCGATCTAACGGTTGCGACCACATACTACCCGCCTGGGGTTTCCTACCTTCCTTCTTACGAAGAGATGACCGTCCCTTACTAGGTAGCGATCCCTCATCATCTGCGCCCTATGGCTTGCGTCTCTATCACGCATCTCGCATGATAAGAGAAGTCCTAGCTCTAGGTAAACCCCATCATACTCCTCTGCGCGGAATGCCTCCTTGATCTTTCCCTCTTCGAACTCGTCATCCTGACTCTCCAACACAGTATCTCTTCCTTCGGCTGGATTTAGCGAGTTTTTCAAATCAAGGGACTCCTGCAGAAGCGTGTTGACGAGGAGGTACATTCCTCCCATTACTTCCTCGTGGCGTTTTACCCTGTCCGGGCCCTCCTCTATTGTCCGTACCTCATCCACCATACAATGGCTACCTGCGAGTGCCAACTTGGTCATCCATTGGACGTCCTTACCACCCCAGGGATCCTCCTCTTCGAAAGGCTTGAGCACCAACTCAGCTTTCCGCTCATACCCCTTAGGCGCGTGCCAGATAGGATGGCCAACGCAGCTGGGGACTCGTGGGGACCACTTATTGATGTGGAGGCGGATGTCCTCGTCCTGGTCCAGAAAGCCATCAACAGGGGGCGTATCCTCTACAACTTCCCCGTCCTCCCTATCCCAGTTGATGCGACTTAGCCCATCTGCCCTGTTCTTGTTCCCTGGGATCCGTTCCAACTCGAAGTTGAACATCCAGATGTATGTCAACCACCTGGCAAGTGTTGGATCGGGCGGAACATAATTCCTCAGGGAGAAAGCTAGAGCCGTTGGGTCTACCCTCAAGATGAACCTCCTGCCGAAGATGTAGTTTCAAAAAATCCGCAGACAATGAAGGACGGCGAGAGTTTCCCTCTTGAATTGGGAGTAGTTTCTCTCTTACGTACATAGCGTGTGACTCTCAAAGCGCAACGGCCTCTCCTTCCCCTTGACGTCTGCTTGGATTAGAACTCCACCCAAGGTCGTCGGTCCTGCACCGGTCTCCACAATGAATGGTCTCGTCTCCGTAGCGTCATAATCGGGCGCTCCCAGCACCAATCCTCCTTCCTGGAACTCCTCTTTCATGTTGGCCACAACCTCTTCCTGATCCTCACCCCAGGTCCACTCTTGATCCTGCCGGACCAGCTTTCTTAATTGCTCTATTTTTGCCGCAAAGTTCTTGACAAAGGACCTCCAAAACCCACACGTACCTAGGAAGCTCCTTACATCTGTTACAAAACGGAATGGCACCGGCCACTCAACTATCTTATCCGTCTTCTTAACGTCCGGTCGCCAGCCGTTCTCATTACAGACGAACCCCAAGATAGTCGCTTCCCTCATACAGTGCTTAGACTTAGGCCCACTGGCCGTAAGGTTGTACTCCTCAAGCAAGCCCAAGACTTTATCAAGGTCCTGAATGTGCCTCCAAACAAACCACCTTACTCCAAGCAGGACCTCATCGTCTTCCCTTTTTCGCGGCCCTTTCACTGCCAGGTCATCGATGTATGGTTGCGTGATGTGTAGACTAACTGTCTGCATGACCCGGATCATATTCCTCTGGACCATTGCCACCGCATTCGTCCACCCTTGCGGAGCCACATTCATGTGGATAAGCCCTCGAGGCGTGTGCATAGTTGTTACTGGTCGGTCCGGCGGGTAGACCGAAAATTGGTCATATCTGGAATAGAGGTCAATAAGTGAAATTATCGGCCTCCCAGCGCACGATTCCGACAGCGCATCAGCATTTGGTAGCCCACCTGCATTCCGCACTGTCACCGCATTCAGTCTCTGCAAGTCCTGTACCCACCTTAGTGTCCCATTGGGCTTAATAAAACAAAACCATGGTGATGCGTAGGGTCCGCTCGAGTAGTCGGCGACGTGCGTACGTATTTTGCCATCGAGGTAGTCCACTACCTTCTTCTCTTCGTCCGGATCCGGGTATCGCGCCCCTCTTAGATTCCATGGCTTGTGCGGCACGGTATGGATGCGGATCATTGAAATCTTGTCCACATCCAACCTGCCACGCTCCTCGTCGCTGAACGCATAGGCGCGATGTCTTTTCTTCATCAGCTCCACCATCAGGGCTCTTTCCCGCGGTAGTAGGAAGTCCGGTTCTCCCACTATCAACTTCCCTTCGTTTTCCTTATTGATACGACATGGCCCTTCTGACGCATTTTCCCTCATCCGCCGTATCAACGCTCGCTCCCGTTCGTAGTACACCTCCTCGTCCTCGGTAACCAGAAAGGGAACTGGGCGACAGTTTTTGTCCATCGTTTTGTACCGCCTTTGGACACCCTGCTTGAGCCGGCCCCTAAAAAAGGCTGACTTGGCACTCGTGCCTGCGCTTGTGCCACTGCCGGATCCATTCCCCCCTTGGGAAGCCGGTAAACCAACTCCATCTCCCCTTCCTGGGGATACTCCAGAACCTGCTCCCTCAACGCCTGAATGGCATCCGGATCGGCCATCTCGTGCGTGGCCACTATATCCATGGCCTTTCCCACATCCGACAGGTTGAGCGAGAAGGCTTCACCTTCTACTTCGTCCTCGGGCTCTGCCATAAGCCTCCGATACGCGTCTTCTGACTCCTCAATCGTGAAAGAGTCAGGGTTGGGCCTGTTCCTGAGGCTCCTTGGCCCAGTGTTCCGACAGGTAATCACTTCGTAATTCCCGCATGCTGGATCACATAGAATCAGGATCAATGACCCATCATGCTTATTATATATCAAAGTCTCCGTCCTGCATAGGAAGGACCTCCCCAGGAGGATGTTGTGGTCCACATCAGGAATCACAAAGAAACAGGCCCACGCTTTCACCCTGCCAATCTCCAGTAGCACATTCGAGGTTGTTCCACAGAACACCGCCTTGTTGTTGGCCCCGTGCAGGATGCCACAATCTGAACGGTCTACCTCTAACCCAAACTTGATGGCGTCGGCCTCTCGAATGATATTCATTTTCGCGCCGGTATCCACCATGGCTGTGCATTTGGAGCCCTTTACCGCTAGGTCCACCACGCCACAAGCTACACACTTCCAATCCATTTTTGTCCCTGGCTCTGCCCATTCCATCTCCTTGGGCAGGATCAYGCWGAGGTGAACATTTGGTAYCARTCGTCTTGACAGTCTGCCCTTCAACTCATTGCGGAGCCTGGRCGCAGACGCTAGGATCTCTTTCAGGGTCATTAAATCATTATGGCCCTCAAGCAGCCTGTCAATTACTCGCTCTACATCAAATCCTTCCTCTAGCCGGACCGCATACTTCTTCCTCTTTGGCGGTACGTCTCGCATAACCGGTTCGGCCTCTCCCCGACTTTCTCTTTTCTTGGCTCGCTGTTCGGCCCTTTGATCTGCTTTCTGACGTAATCGATCATCTTCCCCTTCATCATCATCATCATCCTCTACCTCTACAGTTTCCTTCCTCTTTTCTGGTTCTGGTTCCTTCCGAGGAGGTTCTTGACTCGCACCTGACTTGGCTTGACTTCGAGTGCGGGCTGCCTGAGCCAGCCTAGCTTGCGGGGTAGGGGGCCTAGTCATCATCCCTGATCGCGGGCCCGTCCCCACAGTGGTCACTCCGGGCCGCCCTGGCATGGATTCCGGACCATAGTCATAAAGGAAGACCTTGGGGAGGTTAGCCCTCCACTCCTTCACTCCCTCGCAGAGATCTACCAACTTCCGTTGGTATCTCCCTACCATGTCCAATAAGTCCTCCATCTTATTCAGTAGGACCACCCCGGCTCTACCTCTTCATCGCCACCCTCATCGTCCGACTCGATGATTATGGGTTTCTCTCTTACATCCCCGGCCTGTAGCCTCTGGGTTACTTCCTCGTCACTTCCTACTTCCTCAACTCCAACTGGCAGTTCCTCCTTCTCCTGCCATAGCCTGAACGTGGCAGGGGGTGGCTGTCGTGCTGCCAACCTTCGTTGGGCCTCCGCCCTAACTCCAYCAGCCTTCCYATCAATAAAATCTCCAAATTGGTCGTAAATGTCCCCATCCATATTAGAATAAATCAGTCCATTTTTCTCGTCCTCTCTCCGTATGTTGCAAAACCTAATAGTGTGGCCCTGCTGCTCACACTGCTGGCATATGGCACTTCTCCAGTCAAAACGGGCCCTTCCACCACCTGGATTCCCTCGGCTGTCTTGGCCGCCTTGATTGCCTTGGCCACCTTGGTTGCCCCATTGGCCTCCTCGGCCGCCTTGACTGCCCCATTGGCCTCCTCGGCCACCGCCATTCCTGCCACGTCCTCGTCCACCGCCCCTTCCTCCATTCCCCTGGTTCCCTTGGCCTTGACTACCCGCACCCGCCACACTGCCTTGTGAACTTTGTGTGGGCGTTGGGGTCGGCGGTACCGCTGGCTGAGTTTGGGCGGCGGGGTAGCTCGGAGGTGGCATACTTGTCTGGGGCCCAGCATAGGATATTACCTGTCTCGACGGCGCTGGGCCACCCCAGGGTACATAGGTCTTAACTAGGGGCCACGGCCAGTGCCCAAATGGTGGCACTGGTGCTTGCGACGGGCCCGCACTACTTGACGGCCCGGACGAGCTCGGAGATGCCGCTACCACTACTTGAGGCGCCTGGCCCTTTCCTGACCCTTGTCCGCCTTGTGCTAGATTGCGCTGCTTACGCTGCGCCTTCGTAAGGTGTGGAGGTACTGGCTCCTCTTCTTCCCATCCTTCCTGGGTAGCCTCCTCTACCACGGCCCCCTTGCCTTTTTCCTGGATTGCCGCCGTCACCTTCCGCTGTATCACCGGGTCTAGCCCTGCTAATACGTCGGTTATGATCTTCTTTACTCATGGCGACCCAGTCGTATCCCTGTCCTTCCGTTTCTGCCTCTGCAGCCTCACCTGGTGCTGCTCGACCTGGTCGAGGCCTCCAACCTCCACCCCTCTGTCAATGGTGGCCCAGGTAAGTTTGGCATTTCCTCCCCCATGGCTTGTTAGCTCAACTGTCTCAGATGCGGTGAGCAGTCCCAGGAAGACGGCGCACTGCCTCCTCTGATATCCCATGTACCTTTCTCGCCTTATTTTTGAATTTTTGCAGGAATGCCCAATTGGTGGTAAAGTCGTCCCTATTCATTGCCTCTAGGTCCGCCATAGTTAGCAGGCCATCCCCCAACCTACACTTCCGTTGCATTCCTTCCTTAAATTTAGCCCAATCGCCGTTGGCGTCGTCGACCACCTTCTGTACTTCCGGATGGTGCTTATGGAAGTTATGGAGCACATACTGCGGGATGCATTTGAATTTCGTCTCGTCTGGTACTCCCACCAAGGCTTGCTCCACTAGGTCCAGCCATTCAGAGACTCGTTCCTCATTGAAGTGGAAGGTGTCGACTTTGGGGACACTCCTCGGCGTTCTCTCCCGCTTGTCCATCGCCTCGATGAGATCATCGAGGGTCAGGACCTTGCCTGAACTGTCGCCTATGCCGCCTGTCATTTTAGCAGCCTGTCCTTCACTTAACTTCCCTGTAGTAAGGCGAGGTACAAAGACAACTTTATTCAGCACTCTCACTCCAGCATAAGCCTATCGAGCTAACCACTTAGCCCTTGGGCGTTTCAGACTTTAACTGACACCCACGTCCCTTTCGTT